TACCTGTCCGCTGGAGAAATGCTTTCCGTGAGTGACGCAAAGGCCAAACAGTCATGATTCACCCTATTGGGTGGGGCTTACATTAATAAACTTTGCTGATTGGTTGAACACAATCACCGGTGATTTCGTGCAGAACTGTGGGGAAAAGAGAAGCAGTAGAGCTAAAATGGAGCAGGTTAAATTACTTTTGTATCTCAAATATATTAAATTAATTAATGAATACTTTTTTTACTAGTGTCTCTATATTTCATAGGATAATTTGATCAATAACCGATATTCTTCTGTCTAATATCGATGGGTCTCCCATGATTATTTAGCATAACAGTAACAGTTCCTGTTGTGCAGTGGGAATGCGACACATGAAAAAGGCTACAGGCTGCAAAGGTTCTCAGTTAAGATGGCCCAAGAACTCGGAACGATGGATTAGGTTCCTGAACTTCGGTGGAAAAGCGCCTGTAATGTGACCAGGCAGATAACAGCACATGATCTGTGTGGTGGTTCTTTTGACAACACAGCCTGTCATTTTTCGTTTCTTCATCTGTTTACAGAATATTACTTGTGTGGTTTGATTATGTTTTTATGTCCATTTTTCCCCCCAGAGTCATGCACCAAGCATCTTCAGATCCTATTGGAAGTGATCCAGCAGGAGGTCAAAACATACTGAAGCCCTCAGAGATACTCATCACATACACTGACTGTGGAAACCTTTAGCTCAGTGATAAATGTGATATAAAAAACTATTGTAGGAGTAGTACATAACTTTAATAGGTGACAGAATATAATATAAAATCTATAATAGACACTAGGGATGTAACAGTTTACCTTATAGTTCAATATGCACACATAAACCGTGGTATTGTGATATGCCTGTCATTTTCATATATTTCCAAAACATGCTTATTGCCCTACAGACTGTATGTATGTTGTACATCCAGCTTCACTGAACATCTCTGGAGCTGTCCTGTAAAATGTCATCCTCAGTGCTAAATCCATGCCTCTGTGACATGTTGCTTAGCTGATGGGCCAATGATGCAATCGAGATGATGGTGCAGCTTCAGGCTACTCTACAAGTTTCAAGTTCACGCTAACCGCTGATGCAAGCGTACTCACATCAATAAAACAAGCTTACGAATGTTTTAAAAAGGTGTTTTTATTATTATAAACAAGTCGTTTACATTTGGCTTATTAGTATAATGACATGCTTTATTAGATTATCAATATACAGATCTGGGAAAAAAAAAAACAATGCAAAATTACCAGTTTCTCTGATTTTACTATTTATAAGTTTGAGGAACATGAATATTTTTGTACTGACAACATATCCCCAGAATTCCGCATAAAAATATTGCACTTAGAGCAGTGGTGGGCAAACTACGGCCCCCAGGCCACATACATCACGCTAGGCTGTTTAATTAAGCCCGTTGACTATTTGCAAAATTACCCGTCAAAAAGGGAGCACTAAAACACTGTAAAGACATCATTCATTTAGCCCTTTCCTGAAATACCCTGCGTTTCAGCTGATTCCACTAGATGGCGAACTCCAAACACTATCCACCTTTGCTAAAACCGAGTCTGTGGTCTCTACACACAATTATTCACTCTTCACGTTTGCCATTGCATTGACCCCTACTTTAACAATGAGTGGACCAAAGAAAAGTGAATAGTGTACGCCGGGTTTTTAATGAGTGGTCAGCTAAATATTTTTTCACTGAAGTCCGATCAAAAGCCGTATGTCTTATTTGCCAAGAACCCGTTGCAGTTTTCAAAGAATACAATATCAGTCACCACTTTTCCACCAAGCATGCTAACTACGCTAGCAACCAGTCAATGCAACAAAGGGCAGCTATTGCTCAGAGGTTATCAGCCAATTTACATGCCCTCAAAAAAAAAATTCTGACAAATTACTATTCAGGAGTCTCGTACCAAGGCCAGTTATTTGTTGGCGTTCAACTTAGCATAGACCAGCAAGCCTTTCCCCGAAGGATAGTTTTTGAAAGAATGCATGGTAGAGACAGCAAGTCTCTTGTGTCCAGAGAGCACAAGCAAATATGAACAAATTAGTTTATCACGCAGAATAGTGATTTGCTGTATAGAGCTAATTGATGAAGACTTGGCCAGCGAGTTAAACAAAAAAGTTGAGTCATTGAAGTTCTATTAGTTAGCACTGGATGAAAGTAATGGCATAAAAAACAATGACAATGACAATGACAGTTAATGTCAATTTTGAGATCACAGAGGAGTTTTTGGCCATGGAGTCCATAAAGGGGAGAACACGAGGAGTGGATTCGTATGACAGGTTGTCTGGTGTCATCGAGAGGCTGAAGCTACCATGGTGTAAACTTGGGAATGTCACCACAGATGGATCGCCAAACTTAATTGGAAAAAACGTTGGACTGCTGAAAAAAATCCAGGATAGGGTGAAAAAGGAAATCCCAGAGTTGGATGTAATTTTCCTACACTGTATAATCCACCAGGAATCCCTGTGTAAGTCTGTATTGCAGCTTGATCATGTAGTGAAGTAATCGTAAAGCTCGTTAACTTAACTTAAACGAGCAAGGGGACTTAACCATCATCAGTTCATTATATTCCTTGAAGAAACTGATGCTGATCACCAGGACTTACTTTACAATGCTAATGTCCATTGGTTAACTTTGGGGAAAGTATGTCAGAGAACTTGGGAGCTCAAAGGGGAGAAGCTCATTTTTGGAGTCAATAGGACTCCAATAGGACTTCTTCAGCTGAGTGACACAGATTGGCTTTGTGATTTTGCATTCGCTGTGGACATATTGGCACCGATGAATGTGCTGAATGTGAAGCTACAAGGGAAAGATCAATTTGTGCATGGAATGTATACAAATGTGAAAGCCTTTAAAGCCGAATTGACTTTATTCTCAAGACTAATTTCGAACAACTTACCCTCATTAGCGACGCTGAAAGAAGGTCCCTCAGAAGTACAACAAATCACTGGAAAACTTGATGCCGTCAATTCTGTGATTTTAAAAGACTGTGATTTTTCTCATGTGACTAGTAGCCCATACTTTAGCCAAAGAAAAGGAAAGGCAGAGAAGACTGTTAGGACAGTCAAGGCCTTATTGATCAAGAATGATGTCCCCTACAGGGCACTCTTGGCCTACCAGGTGACACCATTCCTCCAGAGTCCCTCACCTGCTGAGCTGTTGATGGAGTAGAAGCTTCGCTCCCCACTACCTCAGGCGCCAGCCCAGCTTCTGCCACACTAGCCCAACAGGAGAGTTTTCAAATGAAATGATGACAAATTGAAATTTAACCAGACACAGAACTTTAACCGGAGAAGCAGAACCATGGATAAGCCAGGAATGAGTCCAGGCAAAACAGTGTGGGTCTCTAATGTGATTGGACCAGCTACTGTGCCCAGAGCACCACAGTTCTATATCATGCAGAAAGAAGCAACCACGGAACTGTGAAGAGCCCATCTACAAGGTCTTCCTAAACCACCTGAAACTGCACAAGAAGCTGGAACAGGAGACTGGCACCTCTGTGGAATCCACATGTCAGGAGTGCGACAACGACCGGCCTCAACAGCAAGACAGGCCAAGACAGCTGGTTAAAATACCTATGTAGACTATGTTTCTTGAATAGAAAGATGGAGCAGATTGAACAGGTGATGATTAAGAAACTACTTGTTACATTTTTTGCTACATTTTGGTCTAAGAATATTAAGCAGCCACAGCTAGAGTTGCAGGAGATTGCATACAAACCAGGTAATAGATTTAGGAGATGAAACTGGTTATATGCAGTTGCATGATGAGAAAGTGGACAAGTATGTTCAACATGTTGTAGGTTACAAGCTAGTTCCTTGCAGAAGGGGAGATGCAGTGGTGCGTTCTGTCCATAGGAAGGGACTGGGAGTTTGACGCAAGAAATGTGACACACTAATCCTGGAGTCCAGGCCTTTAACATTACTACATGTAATATACACTATATTAATAGCTGTGTCACAATAAATTTCACGTTACATTCAGAAGATTACTTACCTTATGTATGTATCCCCCTGCTCCCTGTAGGAAAGCTGCCAATAAGAAGCCTTTAACCTGGATAGAAAATGCATTGTTTGTACAGTAGGTCTTAATGAAACAGTACCAATTTCAGAGAGCATTGAACTGAAAAATGTTCAATTAATAATAATAGTAATAATAATAATAATATCTGAGAACCATTGAGAATCACTTTAGCAACCATGGTATGCTTAGTCACTGTGACCCACAACTGCAGGGCCAGCCCAACCCTTTCAAGATCCCTTAATAATAATAATAATGCCTCTTCAAAATTGCTTTACAATGCATTTTCGGAATGTTCAGTGCACTAACCTAATGCATTCATAGAACTTTCATAAGTAGCATTTCAGTACTTTAACATGTCTTAAGGTGTTTTCGGACTGCTTCACTGGTAAAGGTTGTTGATAATTGAAAGATTTGGTGACACATTTGGGTTTGAACGTCCCAGCAGCAGAAGATCGTAATGTGATGTCCCTAAGGTGTACTTTTATGTTTTCTATATATGGAATCGTGCCAGCGTGGGACTGCATGTGTTGAATCATTAAAAGACGGTGCACTACGCATGAAGACACAGCCAACTCTTCCACCGGACAGGGATGCACGCATCTGACATGGGGAACGGGGCAAAGACAGACGGCGGGCAAGAGAGCCGGTCGGAGGACGGCGCTGTGTATCTGAGAAGGAGGATTGACCTGGCGACCAGCACCTCACTCGTCCTCGGCACAGTGGTGGGCAGCGGCATCTTCATCGCGCCTAAGGGGGTGCTGGAGAACAGCGGCAGTGTGGGGGTCTCCCTGCTGGTCTGGGCACTGTGTGGAGTGCTCTCCATGGCCGGTAAGAGCACACGTGTTCATGCCTGATTCTGCTTTATAGCAAATGAAGGGTAAAGTAATGTTCATACAAGTTTAGAAACACATGACAGAAATGGTCTTCGTAATGTCTTTATTTTAATTTTTAAAACAGCAACAATAATAATAATGATAATAAGAAGAACAAGAAGTTGAAGAAATGTCGATTGCATTTTAGGTACAGTGTGCGTGTTTGTGTGTGTGTGTGTGTGTGTGTGTGTGTATGAAATGTTGCTCCAGTATCAGTTAATTAGAGGCTTAATGATTTGTTTACTTGAATCAGGTTTTCTGAAGCTGCAATAAAATAAATTGCGAAAATGGGTAGGAGGTGCAATGTACACCTGCAAACTACTCAGTACATCTCCATCAAGTGAACTATTTATCTTGGGGTACAACGACTGGTTCTGACTGTAAGTGCAGCACCAGAGCCAGATGTAATTTTTAGCTAAATTTGTAAAGTGAGCTTTGTGAGTCAAAGCCAACTTAGGCAGCTTAGAGCTTGAGGCATTTTGTCATTTTGTATGGTTAGCAGGATTTTGTTCAAATAGTGTCACATTGAAGTTCTTGTTACCACTCCAGGTGCTCTATGCTTCGCAGAGCTGGGGACGACCTTTAGGAAGTCTGGAGGCCAATATGTCTACCTGCAGGAGACTCTGGGCCCTCTGCCTGCATTCCTCTGCCTTTGGGTTGAATTCATTGTAATCAGGTCAGCTACTGGCAAGCTGTGGTAAAAGATATAAGCAAGACAGGATATGTGAAGACTGACATATTGTTGTGCTTCCTACCTGTACAGTGACACTAAATGTCTTCTGTCTCAGACCAGCCACAGTCTCTGTGGTGTCCCTGGCCTATGGCCGCTATGTGATAGAGCCCTTCTTTACCCCCTGTGCCACCCCCGAGGTCCTGGTTAAGCTGGTCAGTCTTCTGGCCATGTGTGAGTATAGCTTTGCTCTCTGTGATTTGCTCTCTTCCACCCTCTCTGAGACTGCAGTCTGTTTTGTAGGTTGTTTGCATGTTGTGGTACATGTGTGTTATGTACATCATGGTGTTTTCTTCTACTCTCCAGCCATTGTGGTGGCAGTTAACTGCTGGAGTGTGAAACTGACCTCCAACATGCAGGTCACACTCACCTTCATCAAAGTGTTCGCCCTCATCCTCATCATTGTCCCTGGCATCATGGCGCTGGCCAGAGGTACGCTCATGCCAGTGGGCGCATGGAGGGCAGTGCATTCTACCATGGGCCTGTTATGACTGTCTTGGTAAAATAGGAATTTATCTTCAGTGGTTCATCTCTCTGCAGGAGAAGTTAAGAACTTCGACAATGCCTTTGACTCTGATTCCTTAACACTGACCAAACTCCCACTGGCATTCTACGCTGGACTCTACGCCTATGGTGGATGGTAGGTCTCGTAACATCGGATTTGTTTTAACCAAGGAACCTTTCCATTTGGAGAAACTGATTTCACTTTTCCTTGCAGGTTTAATTTGAACTGTGTCACAGAAGAGATCATCAATCCCAACAGGTACCAAAAGAAGCCTAATTCTAAAATGAAGCATTTTGGCAAGAATGAGATACACTTTGTGACTAACGCAACCACATGAATGGTGTGTTGTTGTCTGTTAGATGATTCCTGCTATCATAACTAGCATGGTTTTGTCTGGTTCTTCCTCTTTTTCTGTCTTGTCAGAAACATCCCACTGTCGATCGTTATCTCCATGGTAACAGTAACTGTGTGCTATGTGCTGGTTAATGTGTCATACTACACGGTGATGACCTCGGCTGAGCTACTGGCATCGGGTGCTGTAGCTATGGTCAGTACTGCTGCACTTTCATTCACTTTAGCAACCATGGTATGCTTTGTCACTGTGAACCTCATTTGCAGGGCTGGTCCAACCACAACCCTAGTCAAAATTTGTTTAACCTAGTTGTCAGGGTGCCCTCTGGTGGCCACTGGGCCCTAAGCACCCACTGGGCCCAGCTCAATTCACTAAGAGCGCTTTTCCACCGCATCAAGTATGGTACTTTCAGTACTTTCGCTTTTCCATTGACTTCTGGTCGAGTACCAGTACCAACAAATCCAGTTCTGCATGTGCCAGACCAGCTGGGGTACTTTTTTGGTGCTTCAATACTTTTGGGTGGGACTTCACAAAGTTTCTTTGTCGACTGGTTATGTGAATAGCTTGCCGATGAAACAAAATACAAATGCCGCCTTGAAAATAGTTGCAAACTCAGAAAATAATGAAATAAAAAATGCAATTTGTTCATAAGAACATGTACAACAAAACGATCAGGATGGCATGACAAGAAATTAAAAAGTATTTTGTTGGATATAATGATACAGCAGGCATATTGTGTGTTTTCCTGGTGATGTGATTTTGTTGTAATAAATACTGGGATTTTTTTTAAAAAAAAGGAGTTTATAAATTTCTCACAGACTCATCTTCGAGTGATTTAAACGGCAAAGATGAAAGTGATTACGATTGTCTCAGAGAACATATGCAGCACTCATGCGAAAGCTGCAGGAACCTCTATTTAAACAAAATAAATTTTACAAAAAATTCACTAGGCAAGGCATGCCTAGACAATTCAGTTTATTTATATAATTCTCTTGAGGTTTATTTTACCATTATTTTTTATTGAAAACGAGAGGTATGCTGCCAAAACAAAGGTCCAGAAAGCCACACCAAGAATATTAAAACCAATCTTTTCATGGATTAGGAAGCTTAACAAGGTAACCAAGAGGTAAGAAACCTTGAATGATAAATTATTATTTTGAGGATTTTTTATGGTTGATTTAATACACTGACCTGTCAACATAAGAGATAGGAACAGAAAGCTAACACAAGACAAAGGATAAAAAGAATAATAATTAAAGTTGCAAAGTTTGCTAAGTTTTTTTTTCTTCCTATGACAGAGTAACAGAGTAAAAATATTTTAATGAAACTGTAATACTATTGACCTAATGTCTGAACAGAATTGAAAGTAAGAAAGAGCCATATTTTAATCTAGCTGACTATTGATATAAGAATTATATATGCATAACATGCGATGTTGGTATTAATATTGCACGCCATCCAGCCATATAATATACTACAGCCATTTTTCAAATTCGGTACAAAATACCCCTCCTCGCGTTCGGCACCAGTACTGAAGTGAATCAGAAAATCAAAACACGCATTTGTGTTATTCTTAGTTTTAGTTTTATTCAATGCATCATACAGACCTTTATGTTTATATTTACAATATAGAAATATACCACTTAATATGAGAGACCACCAGAGCACATTTTGACGTATATGAAGGGTTTTAGGGTCACATGACGATGTACGATATGCTGCTAGGGATCTGGTCAGTGATACTTTGTTACCTTTTTCAGACGTTTGCCCACCGCACTCTGCAGAGCATAGCATCCATCATCCCCATGCTGGTGGCCATGTCCTGCCTGGGGTCCCTCAATGGAAATATCTTCACA